AGATATTATCATTCACATTCCAATCTTCTTAAACAAACATGAGTTTCTAAACTACCTTTCCCATAGATTATTGAAGGGTTAAAGAAGAGATTTATTTCTTACTTTAACAAAAAGAGAGTTTTCTTTATTTAGATCTATAGTTTTAATCCTAAAAATCGATACAGTGAAGGCAAGAAGTTGAAATAGCAAAGAACCTTGTTGAAGCAGAAGGCTGTTTGAGGGAACAGTTTGCATATTCAGAAGTCTGAAGGTTACTCGATTCTAAGGAAATGAACTTAAAGATCAGAATTAAGGTAAAGTTATTGTTTTTGTTAAATTTAGAAATAATTTTTCTTAGATCTTAAAGAATCGTAGGGATTAATTATTTCAATAATCATATTCATGTTCATAACGTTTAAATTTAAATGTTTACTCATAAAGTTTGAATTATTATCTCATTATATTATCTGAAATGTCAGGAAATACAGTTAAAAGATTAGATAATTTGTTAGATAAAATATTAGATGAAATAAGATTTATTTTTCAAGAACTTAATAGAATACAAGAAAGAATAGAACATGGTGAAAACATAGATACATCGATTGAAGAACTTGATAAAAAGTTAATAAGATATATTGAAAATTACCCCAACATACTACAACTGAGAATAGAATTATTTATTAAAATTCAAGAGAAAAGAGATACTAACATTTAATAATGTTTTGTAAAAGACTAATCTTTAAAATTATTCATAAAGAATGGATATATCTTGTAATAAATAAAACCTATATCATTATTCATTAAGGATAAAATAGGCAATTCAATAAAAAGCTTAAAAGGCTTGTCAACGAGGCCAATTTGATAAATGCGTGTAGGGACCTCTTTTCAGACCGACCACTACCAGGAAATTATCAACCCGGTGGTCCTCAATGTCCATTCTCCAACGAACTATGATAGGTGTACATCATTAGTGGGTTACAATACTTACAACACACTCACATTAGTACGGGTTCCACCAATTAATTAATTGGTGGGACCCACACTCACATTAATGGGTGGGATACGCACTAAGGTGAGTGTGTTGTAACCCACTAATGATTGTACCGACAGCTTTTTTGTTCTCCAACTCCTACTAGGCTCGTCAACCAGGTATTTCTCTCTCTAATGGCATCTTCTTCGTCACTCACCGTCGCCTTCTCTCTCCTTCGATCAACCATTCATAGAGTCCCACTTTCATCTTCATTCCCCACACTTCTTACCGTCAAACCTAAGGTCCCAAATTGGAACATCCTTTTCTTAAACCAGTATTTTTTTTTTTCGGATTTTAGAATTTTTTTTATGTGCAGGTGTTGAATCAATGTAGAAGATTTATATCAACAGTAATGGCATCCAAAGAGTCAGCCTCCAACAACCCAGGCCTTCAGACTACTACTGATGAGGCCACAAAAAGTTATTTCTTGCAACAAGCCGTAAGATTTACAATAACCCTCCTATAAATATCATCATCTTCATTGTTAATTGATTGTTAATTTCATCGAATGGACTAAATCTTATTATTTTATTCATCTTTCTGTTTTATATGTTTTATTATTCTCTGTGTAGTTTTAGGCAACGGCGACCGACCTCCGTATTCTGTGAGGTTGAGCAATTCCCAGAGCCATCTTTGAAATTCCTAATTCCCAAAACCAAACCTGCTCTTAGAAATTCAGACTGAATTGACATAAACCAAAAATTCAATAAAATAAAATCACGTCATATGCTACCATGTTAGAGTTAGTGCCACTCGACGGATCTGTGAAGGAATTGATTTCATTGAGTCTTTCGCTGGATGGAAGGATGAGTGAATTCAAACATTGAGGACTTGTTTCGCATAGCCAATTTCAAATTCATTGGGAACAAGCCTAGTTCATCTTTGAGGAGTAATAAAATTTTACTGAGCAAAATTTGCAACCCGATATTCATTATGGGACCAATAAGTACATAATTCTATCTATGCACGTATATTGATACCAACATTGTGTTAAATATCCACTAACGCACATTTATGGAACTCTTGGTTGATTCGAACTGTATTTTTGGGTTCAGATGATTCGAGTAAAGGACCCCAAAGTCAGCCTTGATTTCTACTCTCGCATAATGGGCATGTCGTAAGTATTCTTAACTTTCACTAAGAAAAAACCCCATTTCTTACTCTTTAGTTTTTGTGGATAACATGATGTATATATCAGATTTGTTGACCTTTGTTTCTTTGTTTCATTTTTTCTTCAAATGCTTATATAATTTTATGCTTCTGTGTGTAAATCCTGTAAGCAATGCTATTTCTTCGGGTAATTTTGTAATGCATATTTGTTTTTGACAGTGCTATCGATAGACTGGGAGATATATTTTCAATTGTTAGAATTGTGCTTTTGGTTTAATTGTTAAGGAATTCCAATAAGGAATGTCTTTGATACTTACAATCAATGATTCACAAAGAAGGGATTTTGGATATGATTTTTGTGTCCTTGTGAATTTCGTCTTAGGAATTTGAGTCCTTGTGAATTTTGGTTTTTCCCTAATTTGTCTTTATAAATAGGGAGCTGTCAACAGGCTATTAAATTACCATCATAAAAGATAGAAAGAGAGGTTACAGATAATGGATGTGCGATTTTCTCGTGTAAACTTTTTTTTAATCATAGGAATTACTGAAGCAGCGGAAGAAGACGTAGTCTCACATTGAAGTGAACATTGTATATTTTTTATTTCTGCTAATTGATTGCTCTAGGTGAAATAGAATTAGGGTTTCTATTCTCATCAATGATAACTTAAAGAATAAGCTTGATTAGTTTAAACTGATAACCCTTACAAATGGGGAAATTGCTAGGTAATGGATAAATCACATCTAGTAAACCACTAAGATTAAACGAAACGTTTTTGCATATTGAGTTTTATATAGGCCTTGTTTGAGCCACAAAATTTGAATTTAAATGTTGTGATGGATAACGGTCATATTTTTCATTTTAATGAGAAAATAAGGTGGCCCAAACGGGGGCATAGAGAAAAGAACAAAAAAGAACATAAGTTTCAGTAAAATACCCCCCTCCCTCTTGCTTTTAAAAGACGATTAGATTTCTATAAGATATTATCCACCAAGAGCAATGATTTAAGATCTTCTCTAAACTCTACGACGGTGTTTTTCATAAAATATACAAGAAATTAGATGAATAATGGAAATGGTGGACGAGTTTGATGCAATTCAAGACGTTCTTGTTCACGTCATTTGATGTTACAGACAAAATTGTGCCTTATTAGAAATGATATTTAGTTATTTGAGTTCATGTTCACTCTGTTGTCAGTATCCGTATTTTAACTAATTATAATAAAATTGTGGAGTTAGTATTACGATGAACTCATTCAAGTCCATAAATGGAATCAAGGAAGTATGAAATAAAATGAGTGAATTGTGCCAGCTTTGTATCAGTATCTTAACCGGCAAAATAATGACCTATTCCTAGATCGAAGAGTCTGCCAACAGAGAACAAGCAGCACCTTCACATCCGAAGCAGCTTCCTCACCTGGGAAGCACCAACACTCTGCTGGTGTCAGCGTATCGATGTCCAACGTGTATCGAACACCAGTACATCTCCGACACGTTGCCGATGCGTGTCGGAGGCCCTTGTAGCGTGTCTGATGTAAAGAAAAACTGAAGAAGGCGGCTGAAAATTGAAGTTTTGTGGAGGAACTGTTCAAGTAACAACTTGAGTCAATTTGAGGAACTTTTCATGCTGCAATTTCAGTCGGTGGCTGAGGAAGAACCGTAAGTGGTGGCTGAGGAAGAAGAATAGTAAACCCTAAAGAGAAATGAAGAGGCGGGTCTGAGGATGAATTGTAAATGTAAAAATGATGTTAATTTTGAATTACTATTTTACCCTCAATTAAAAAACAAGAGAGATGTATTCTAAAAGGAGGCAAACTTTTTACCTTTTTAATTTACCATATTACCCCCAATTAAAAATCTATCTTGTAAATGAAGCCAAATTCCCTTTCTTTTCAATTATCCTACACGAAAATTGCAAGAAAAAAACTCAAAAATTCACTTCAAAAAAATTTAAAAATAAAAAATAATATTTTAATCAATGTGTCAACGACGTATCGTGTCGAAACTTTTTCGAAAGTGTCCCACGCGTATCATGTCGGTGCTTCTTAGTTCCTCGCTATTCATGCCACATTATACTTTTGCCACCTACAACAACAGCACTCTGTGGTTACTTCCTTTACTTGCTACAACAACTCTTCTTTTCTTTAGTGAAAACGTGTATTTGGAGAGGGACAATGTGCAATGGTGCTTATAATGGAGGGAAAGTCAATGCATTGATGGTGGCAGTTTCAGGAGTTGGTGAGGGCCGGGGAGGAATGAGTTACACTTATTTGTGGAAAAAATTTTCTATTCTTTTTGTATTTTGTTAAATTTATATTGAATAATATATTGTATTTAATTTCACATCCGATATCATAGTTATCAATTCATTAGCCAAATTTGAATGCCAAAATGAATTTTGTACTGAAAAATTACATTGCCTAAATGAATTTTATCCATCTGGTTTTATAAATTGGAAATCTTTCATTTTCTTTTTTATTGATGATTGTTTCTGTTTTCGTCTGCAATTAAACTACTGATACATCTATTTTCCAGACCAAACAAGTTGATATTAGATAGTACAAGTCGAACCAAGTTTTTCTTATTATTTTACCGATCACAGATTGCTCAAGAGGTTGGACTTTCCAGAATTGAAGTTTACCTTGTACTTTTTGGGATATGAGGTAAAACATCTAACACCATTTTCAAAGCATTTTCCTGATTATATTTTTGTTTACTTGTGCTCTTGTTTTACTTTTATACTGAAACACTTGTTTGTGTCGTCTCTCCACATACATGTATGTGGTTCTTCCTGCCGTTTGATCTCTTAATCCATTTGTATATTGGTGGTTTAGGACACTGCATCTGCTCCTGAAGATCCAGTTGAGCGTACTGCTTGGACTTTTGGTCAGAAAGCTGCACTTGAACTTAGACAGTAAGAGCAAGCTCTTTTTTCATAGAATTCGAGAAATTGTTGTGCAAGTGGCCCTCTCATGACATATTGACATCTAACTGTCAATTTTTTGTCACACTACCTGGGGTACTGAAACTGATCCTGATTTCAAGGGTTATCACAATGGGAACTCAGAACCTCATGGCTTTGGTATGCCAACCATTTAACTCTAAAGTGCTTCTTTCTTCCCCCTCGTGTATCTCTGCAGAAAACTTTTGATACTTTGTGTCAAATTTGTCAATGTTTCACATCACTCGTAATCGTATCTATTTCTAGTTCACATGGGATAACTTTAAAGAGAATGTCTTGTTTTATGTGTCATCCTTTGGTTCTCTGTTTGTGATGAAACTGCCATTGCTATGCATGAAATATGAAATCTTACAATTTTTCAATCTGGTGGATATTCAGTGGGTGGAAAATTATGTCCATGCTTGCTTTATTGTATTTTTATCATTTACACGTGTAATGAGAGTCAATAATTCCACCTTTTGGCATCAAGATGACAAGTGTATTGATTCTGCATGTGCTACTTACATTGTTAAAAATATTTATATGCTTCGTCCTTTATAAATTCATTTACTGAGAAATGGATTGACTATCTCTGTGTCTTAGGCTGTAGCTTCAAAAATCAGAAAGTAAAGAGAATTTCTGAAACTTATTCAAATTTCTTAACATTTGAGTAATTTTTTGAACTGAGGGTGATGAGATGAACTAGAAAATAAATTGTCCATATTTTGCCATGAATGGGGATCTTCAGTCTGGGGGTAGTTTCAGATTTCAATTTTAATCAGCTGCAGTTTGCATTATTCTTGGTTCATTGAAAGTCTTACTCTAGTTTGCTTGAACCCTGTAGATCTACACTCACTTGTGCAATTTAATATCTTATTGTGTGTTCTAAGGAATTAATTCTTTTACGATATGCTGCTTGGTTATCTTCAGGTTGTTTTAGTGTCTGTACCAAGAATTAGTTTCATACGAGAGATTTTAATTTTTAGGGGATGGTTGGCCTTACTTGATATTTGAATGACTAACATGTCTTGTTGGGCTTTCAGGACACATAGGCATCACCGTTGATGATGTACATAAGGCTTGCAAAAGATTTGAAAGTTTAGGCGTGGAGTTTGTAAAGAGACCCGAGGATGGTAAATCCATTTAATTTCATAATATATCTAGAGTGGATATTTGTTGTTTCTTATCTCAATATATATTTCATCGATGAAGTTCTATTGAGAAGAATTGTCATCTCGTCCAAAGCTGTGGTCAAATCTTTTATGCCTGAATTTTAAAAGTTTGAGTTACATGTACTAATTTTATTTTATTTTATTTTTTTTTTGGTGTGTGTGTGTGTGTCTCAGAACCTTTTATCACAAATTAGTGCATTTGTTGGGAGGAAGGGGTAAAATAAAGAGAGTCGACCATGAGAGGAATAGACAATTTTAAAAAATAAATTAAGGCAAGAGGAAACTGAAAATATATAAATAAATAAACTGAGAAAATGTGGTCTTAATTCTAACATTTGAGAAATTTAGAGTTAATAAGAGACTTCTTTTGTTCTTTTTTTGAGCGTGTTTTGTACAGAAATTTTGTTGATTTTTTTTTTTTTTTTTTTTCATGCTATCCAATTTCCATTTTTAACGTGTCTTGTTAGAGTTGCCAACCCTTTTTTCTCCTTTCCCAATCTTATTGAACTTCAAATAGTCAATGTATGACATAGGTTATCCATTTTTTAGTTCAATTTTTACTTCTATCAGAAGATTGCTGCTGATTTCATGGTGCCATTTATTATTTTCTTATTACTTGAGGTAACAAAGATTTAGAAATAATAGTCATCTGTTTAAATGATGCAATCTTTGTTCTTAATAATTCTATAAGTGTCGATTGTAAGCTATTAGCATGGTCTTTTGTTTCCCTTCTCTTGTATGTCAGCCATTGGCATGACCTTTTGTTGCAATTATATAAGCATTATGGAAACATATCATGCTCCCAGTGAACATCTGTTTTATATGGTGAGGAAAAAGAGAGAGAAGTCTTTCGGGGCTTGAGGAATCTAGGGTTTAAAGCAGAATGAGTTCAACCAATCCTTCAATAAATCAGATCTTGTACTATGTCAGTTTGTGTGGATATGTGAGTTCATTTTGATATTATTATAATGTACTTTAAGAGGTGCTACATTATGGTTTTGTTATATTTTTTATGACATAAAAGAGAATTTATTAAGACAAAAGTGGAGAAATACAAAATGAAAAATGTAAAGAGGAAAGGAAGTCATCTAGTTAGATAAGATTCCATTTCAAGCCCGTGTGATTCAATCAATGAGGTCATGATGAAAGCTCCTGCAAGCCTTAGCTCAACTAGATGCAAAGGATACTCTATCCAGCAGCACTGGTAATGGTAATAAATGCACCTAGTGATTGACATGGACACATAATTGAAGGACTTTCTCATCCCTAGTCCTCCTAAATCATGTGAAATTATAAGAACCATATTGATTGATAGATAAGTGCTCCTTGTAGTAATATCATGTCACCATAGGGTCTATCAAGTATTGACCTGTTAAGATGCTAGTTGTTAGGTAAGGACACTTGTTTTCAATTTCTTAGCATTAGTTTAATTCTGCCAGTATCCTTTGTGGATGATATACATTTAGCTAAAATCTATGGTTCCTTTCCGTCACATTTGTCTTACTTATCCCTTTGCATTTTATATGGTCATAATTACCGCTCCTTAAAGGTGCTATGAGTGAAGCCCCAATTTCCAAATTCCCAAACACAACATATTTACCCAAAAATATGAAATTACTTTCAGTTGGAAGTTGGTGAGATTTCTTTTTCTTTCTTAAAAAAAAAATAATATTTACACGGCCAAATAAATTTTTTCGTAAAATATATCAACATAATAAAAGGCATTTTCTTCGAAATAACTAAATATCACATGTAGGCAATACCCCCACTCTCTAGGTATGAAATAATCCTTAATCGCTAAAATGCAATGACCCTCACTATAAAACACACTTTAATGTGAGAACTAATGACTCACGGGCTTGGCAAGTGAAGATCATATATATGTATATGAAAGTAATCATGTTAAAATCATTCTATGTACAAAAAATCTTCATTTATTTATTTCTCTACCACCTATGACAAACATTTCTCGTCATAATCATTAGGGTCCTTCACCATGCTATGTCTAGACACTAGCATAACATCATAACCATAATGGCCGTCAAGGTGCGTGTGGTTCCTCTTGACATCACCTAGGTGTTAGAGGTGGGGACAAATTTTGAATTTTCTTCTTAGTAGCAAAGAACAATTTGATAACTACAGCTTATTCTCCTCACAGATAAGGTTGGAAGATGATAAAAGTGGAATCAAAGTTGATTTTATCTCAAAGGATAAGTTGTAGTTATCAAATTGTTCTTTACTACTAATAAGAAAATTCAAACAAGTAAATCTATCAAATCAAGCAAGGAAAGAAAGTTTATTGGTCGATCAAGTTCATATTTGATTTTTCAACTTCTAAAGAAGGAATTCAAGTTGTATTTGTCAAATGATAAACCGTATTACAAAATCTATAAATAGGCCTTAGGATATGTTCATCATATATGCGTGTTCAATGAGTGAGTGCCAAAAACAATTGAGCACTAATTGAGGATTTGAGAAAGGTGGAGTTTTTTATTGAGAGAAATAGAGAGTTTGAGATACTTTGTAACTCTTATTTGAAGCCCATCTTGTGATCCTCTTTTCTTATTTTATAGTAAAGCTGCAAAAAGTTTTGAGTAAAATCTTTGTCCAAGTTTTGCTATTTTTCATTATCCTGGCAATCATCCCCAACAATGGGTTTCAGAGCATCAAGTTATAGCAAAATTGGTGGAGCTTGTGAACCTATCAACTGTAGTTGCGTTCAGCAGTAGCTGAGTTGCAACAAATCAACAATGGCAGAAGACGAAAAAGTTAAGATTGAAAAATTCAATGGATCGAAATTCGGATTGTGGAAGATGCAGATAGGAGATTATCTATTCCAGAAGAATCGTTACCTTCCTCTTGAAGGAGTGTCAAAGAAGCCGTTGGATATGAAAAATGAAGAGTGGGAATTACTCAACCGTAAAGCCTTGGGTACGATAAGGCTAACTCTTGCTGCATTTGTTGCTTTTAATTTCATAAATGAAAAGACAACCGAAAGTTTGATGGCAGCTTTATCACGAATGTATGAAAACCCTCTGCAACAAATGTCCATCTTACCAAGAAGTTGTTCAACTTGAAGATGTCCGAGAGAGGAGTTGAAATAGAGCATATCAATGGTTTTATTACACTTATAAATCAGTTGGAATCGGTTGATATCTCATTTGACGATGAGGTCAAAACATTGACACTATTATCAAGTCTTCCAGAGAGCTAGAATCCTTTGGTTGTGGCAGTAAGCAATTCCACGGGTTCGACGAAGTTGAAATCGGATCATGTTGTGGATTTGGTTCTTAGCGAAGATACTCGCAAAAAAGTCGGTTGAGAAATGGTCGATCACTATCTCGACCAAAGTTAAAAGGCAAGTGCTGGAACTTTAGGAAATATGGTCACATAATGCAAGATTGCAGAGCACCAAAGAAGCAAGAAAATAGCCCAGGAGACAAACTTTGTTAATGTTTCTGAAGCTGAAAATTCTGATGCATTGTTGTTAGCTGTGGATGCTCATGAAGAATCATGGGTAATTGATTAGTGTGCTTCGTTTCATGCTACTTCTCGCAAGGAGATGCTCCAAAACTATGTACCAGGCAACCTCGACAAGTTGCATCTTGGGAACGATGGGATTTGCAACATAGTTGGCGAAGGTGATGTTCAGATAAATCAACTTAATGGAACAGTCCTAAGAATTAAAAATGTCAAACATGTGCCATGTTTGCAAAAGAATCTAATTTTCGTGAACTTATTGACTTCGATATTGCAACCATATTTGTTGGTGACACTTGGTAGATGACCAAAGGAGCTATGGTGGTAGCTCGTGGCAAAAAGGAAGGTACTCTCTATGTTACTTCTGGTACTCATAGTCTTCTGGTACTCATAGTTCCATTGTCATCACATCATCAGCAATTGAGGCGAGCACATGACATCGCACACTTGGACATATGAGCGAGAAAGGGATGAATGTTCTGATGTCAAAAGAGAAACTACCAGGTTTGAAGTCTCTAGACTTGGGTTTTTGTGAAGATTGCATCTTTGGAAAATAGAAAATGGTTAGTTTTACAAAAGTTCAAAGAACACGCAAGTCAGAACGGTTGGAGTTGGTGCATTCAGATGAATGGGGACCATCTCAGGTAGCATCTCTTGGTGGCTCTGGCTACTTTGTTACTCTTATTGATGATGCTACTTGGAAGCTATGGGTTTACTTTATGAAAAACAAATCTGATTTATTTGATATTGTGAAAAAATGGAAAATCCTAGTTGAGAATGAGATAGGCTTAAAGTTGAAATGTCTCAAATCAGACAATGGAGGAGAGTACGTAGATGGTCAAATGAAGAAATAGTGCAAAAAATGGAATTCGACAAGTACTGACAATTTTAGGAAAACCGCGACAGAATGGCGTTGCAGAACAATCTTGTAACGTGCTAGAAGTATGAGAATTAATTTTGGTTTACCAAAACAATTTTGGGCAGATACAGTAAGCACGGCTGCTTACTTGATCAATAGAGGTCCTTTAGTTCCCTTGAATTGCGGAATCCTAGAGGAGGTGTGGACGGTAAAAGAGGTGAACTTATTGCATTTAAGAATAATTGGTTGCATCTCTTATGTTCACATTGTGCCTGAGAATAGGAATAAGCTTGATCCTAAGTTTCGTAAATGCATCTTTGTTGGTTATGGCATCGATAATTATGTTTATCAATTTTGGAATTATGAAAATCGAAAAATAATTAGGAGCATGGATGTAGTATTCAATGAGTCTGTTTATGTACCAGGATATACTTGATGATAAGACTAAAGAACCTGAGATACTGGAGCTTGAGGAATTCTCTAGTAGAGGTGTTAAAACCCCAAGATACGAATGTTTAGTTGACACCACCTACAGAGATGCCAACCCCAGTTCCTGTAAGGAGGTCTACAAGAACTGGCCTGTAGTTCGCTATTCGCCTTCCTTGCATTATTTATTGCTGACTGATAATGGTGAACCTGAGTGTTACGAGGAAGCATTACAGGTTAAGATGAGGGAAAGTGGGAGTTGGAAATGAATGATGAGATGGAATCTCTCTTGACTAATCAGCATGGGAACTAGTTGTATTGCCCGAAGGAAAATTTGCTTTACACAATAAGGGGGTTTATTGCTTGAAAGTAGAACCCGATGGCACCAAACGATACAAGGCCAAGTTGGTTGTAAAAGGTTTCCAAAGGCAGGTATCGATTACATTGAGATTTCCTCTCTTGTTGTTAAAATTTCTACTATTTGAACTGTGCCTAGCATTGTGGCGGTTAAGGATTTGCATTTGGAGAAATTAGATGTTAAAACTGCATTCCTTCATGGTGATTTGGAGGAGGATATTTATATGCATTAACCCTAAGGCTATGTGGTTACAGAAAAGGAAAGTATGGTGTGTAAACTCAAGAGGATTTTGTATTGGGCTAAAACAGGCGCCCAGGCAGTTGTATAAGAAATTAGATAGCTTCATGACAAGTGTAGCCTTCCATAGGTGCTATGGTGATCATTGTTATTACAATGACTAAAGTTTGCAAAGAAATGGTATGGTTTCAAAATTTCTTGAGCGAATTGGACAAGAATCTTGATAATTGCAAGTTGTATAGCGATAGTCAAAGTACTATACATTTCGCAAAGAAATGTAACAATGACTAAAGTTTGCAAAGATTATAACTATTTCTACTACAGAAGCAGGGTATGTAACAATGACTAAAGTTTGCAAAGAAATGGTATGGTTTCAAAATTTCTTGAGTGAATTGGACAAGAATCTTGATGACTGCAAGTTGTATAGCGATAGTCAAAGTACTATACATTTCGCAAAGAATTCTACATTTCACTCCAGAACGAAACATATTGATATTAAATACCATCTTGTTTGTTTGCTCTTAGAAGTTAGTAAAATCAGTTTGGAGAAGATCCACTCTACATTGTTAGATGTGGAGACAAATTTTCATTTTACTTCTTAGAGATAAGGTTAGAAGATGATAGAGGTGGAAGTAAAGTTGAATTTTACATCAAATGATAAGTTGTAGTTATCAAATTATTCTTTGCTATTAAGAAGAAAATTCAAACAAGTAAATCTATCAAACCAAGCAAGGAAAGAAAGTTTATTGGTTGATCAAGTTCATGTTTGATTTTTCCACTTCTAAAGGATGAATTCAAGTTGTATTTGTAAAATGATAAACCGTCTTACAAAATCTATAAATAGGCCTTAGGATATGTTCATTATGTATGTGTGTTCAATGAGTGAGTGTCAAAAATAATTGAACACTAAGTGAGGATTTAAGAAAGGTAGAGTTTGTTATTGAGAGAAATAGAGAGTTTGAGATGCTTTGTAACTCCTATTTGAAACTCATCTTGTAATCATATTCCTATTTTATAGTAAAGCCGCAAAATTTCTTGAGTAAAATCTTTGTCGAAGTTTTGCTATTTTTCATTATCCTGGGCAATCATCCCCAACAATGGGATCATCCCACTACTCTCCTATGACACTTTCAGAAAGTCTCTTATTTCATCAAATTTTTATGCCACAAATAAGTTGTCCATTATCAACTATCAACATATTACATAGTCATCACTTCAATTATGGAGACAAACAACCTTGGAAATGAAATGCCATCTAGTTTCACATATTCATGACTTAATCATCAATGCATAAGTTCACAGATTGTATGTGTTCATGGATCTTTACTTAACTTGCATTTAAGTACCGTGCCTCATAAACATGCTCCGAGGGCCTGAGGGTCCCATCCCATCCATTCACAGATGTTGTCAAAATATTATTTTGTATCACTATAAAAATACCCAATCCATAAGACATCTAATTCCATCATTCTCAATTGATAAACTATAACCAAGATCATAAATTCATTTGGCCCCTTCTCATAGGCTAATCCAACACCCAAATCTCATTTCCCTCAAATTTCTTTAGTTATCCAAAAATACCCCATTGGAATTGGTTCTAGGTGTCAAAATCCACCAACTAAATTGCAATGGATGGTTTGATATCCTGAGTTCAGTTTTATCTGTTTGAATTTTGAAGACTGTATACAATTTTTGACTTTTTGTATGGTAGCCACATCACTAGTTTAATGATAAATGTCTTCTTGTCCTTTTTCCACAAAGATTCCCTTCATTGATGTGTCAGAATGCTGAACATGCAAGACAGTAATTCAGGATTGTGATTGTAATTGTGTGGCTTCAATGGATTTTCTTGAACTTCTATCTTCCGAGATGAGGGAAGTCATTTCGAAATTCTATATGTATGTTTTCTCATTGTCCATCATGAATAATTCTAGAATTTATTTCAGCTATTGAGATATTATGTTCTTAAATGAAGCACATTTGTTGCAGGGAAAATTAAGGATATAGCGTTTGTTAAGGATCCTGATGGTTACTGGATTGAAATCTTTGACACTGCATTGATTGCAAAATCAACTGCTCATGCTGCTTGATCTGATGCTGCGTGTATGATTATCCCTTTCCTTTAATGTCCTAAAATATTTTGGGCTCTAATGAATTAATCTCTTATGGATCTTTAGTTTAGATACCTTTTGCATTCATTGTGTCTTTTGAAGTTGTATGCCCAACTTTCTTTGACACAATTATATGAACAGATCTTTTTACAACAAGGTGCTGTGGTGATCGATGGCATCTAGTTCTTAAAACTGGATTTTTTTTGTGATTATTACTTCAGTGAGTTTGATAATTGACATCCATCTCACTTGCCAAATTAAGTTGCACTTAAATAAATCCAATTAACTTTGGACTCTAAACTTTAACCACAAATTAAGTTGCACTTAAATAAATCAAATTAAGTCAATATAGATTCACTTTGAACTCTAAACTTTAACATGCAGTAGGAAGTGGACTCATTATGATTTATCGGAATAGTATTTTGCCCTTTGATCTTTTCAATCTTATAGCCAAAAAGTTTTCTTTGTTTTGCCACTCCTTTTCCTTTAGCCTCCATTTGGCTAATTTATAAATGAATTTTAAATATAAATCATCTATAAATGGTCAAATTTCATTTTCAACCCCATTCCAATGAACCCACAAGTAATATCATTTTATCTACCACTCATTTCTATTTATGAATTAACCGTTTATAAATTCTTCTCAACCTGAGGCTTATTAATTGTAGACGACGTTTGAAAGCTAATATATTAGGTTATTCTCGCTTGTTCTTGCATGCTGCATGACTCTTCAAAACCTGGAATTTGACCTGATTCATTGTAGTTTGCTGTGTTGTATCCTCAAAGTTCATGTTTAATATGAATTTTTCTTCATCTGATGGTTTATTTGAGGAATTATTAGGCGCTAACTTTGTACAACTGATACTAGACAAAATTTGAATTCAGAATGTTATCCAAGTGTTTTAATTTAGTGAAAACGAAGATCATGTTCCAATTGGCAGCTACATAAACAAAAAATATCACTCTGCGAATATGTTTATACGTTAATTACGAAAAATTATTGAGTAGTGAATGCTAAGCATGTTTTTCTTTTGGCTGCAGGATCATGGTAAAGTTGCTCAATGATTCCTTTAAGAGCTTGAGCAAAAAGGAGAAGACATGGATTTGAAGGGTCCTCCATTCCTTTTTACCTCAAGTGGATATAATCTAGCAGTGAATGTTTTGACTACTTGAAGTACATTTTCTAGTGTGTTTCAATATCACCTCCATATTGTGGGTAGTTAAAATAAACTATAAACTCGGCCGCTAGGAGCCTCATCACTCATGTATGCTCTTGATGCTAGAAAATGATTTTCAGTTTCATCCTTTAACTCGGGAATAAATGTTAGATTAGGGGTCATAGGTTGCTCGTGGGGACTGACTAGATCCAAACCAATTCATAAAAGTCTCAAAATTCAACTGGTGATGGTAATTGGGAGGATGAAAGTGATCTAGCAAGAATCTTACTTTTTTTATTATGAGCAGATGAAAGCTGAAGCAAGAATTTATAGGCTAGCTTCCAAAGTTTTTATCTGGTGGATTTATTTGTATGCTTGACACCAAATTATAATCCAAGGGGAAAAAAAACCTGTTTATACCATTAATCCCTCCAAAATATTTCATTGCTCAGAGTGTCAGTAATTTCCTCAACTTTTGACCTTTACACTTCACTGGAAAAGACATTCCTAGAAAAAGCTCTTCCCAATAATAAATTAATATATTTAGTGATGTAGCAGTTGTGCCTACCAGTGTATGCGTAAGTGGCCGTTGATTGTGGGTTGGCAGATGAAATTGTTAATGTTACACAACTATTATTTAGCTGTAGCATTTGTTTGAATTATACAACCAATAGAGTAATAGGTTTTTCTAAAAGATTAAGAAATAAAAACCCTTGTCATCCTCGAGGGCACGGTATATGTTCGTTGATCTGTTCTGATAATATAGATGAATGTTTCTTTCTCCCCCGTTAGTCGAATTACTTTACAATTCAACGTTTGTCCAACTGATTATTTTTTCTTCTATAGGCATTATTTTAATAGAAGGGGATGGGATGAAGCAGTGGCATGGACTGACATAAGATCATGTAATTTTGGACCCCTGTGGGCTGTTTCCCAATGAGGATTTGCATGCTTAAGTGCTTGTTTGGGATGTGATGAAGCAGTGGCATAGACTGACATAATCTTTCTGAATGCGGACATAGTGTTATATTCTTATTAAAGTTAGAGATGACATGAAATATTTTATTCAAAATGCACTCAAAATTATCTTATACGAGATGTCTAAGCTGATAAACATGTTGTACTTGCGAAATTGGAGAATATTAAGTGTAAAATTTTAAATCGGTTAAATATAAGTACACTAACCGAGATTGAACTACTACTCTTAACGAAGTTAATATTTAAAGATGAATCACCAAAATTCAATAAAAAAAACTTCACAGAGATTTTGTTAATATGAGATGCTCCTTCTCCATTCAGTACCTTTCGTTCTTGATAACAAATTCTAGAAGGGAGTAGTTAGAAGTCGGATGCGAAGTTTGCATTTGTACATTTTCACTTACAAAACCTCAAAGACCTTACAAAAAAAAATCCTTGATTTTATAGGCATGTTTTCAAGTCCTTTAGACGATACTCACAAATTTTTTTCACGTATTTTATCACTTATCATGCAAAATTCAATCCAACCCACTAAATGTACATTTTATAAAATACATGACCAAGCATTTTATGAGTGTCAAGTGTTGCATAAAATACATAACCAAGAATATATGGGTTACTCCTTGGCAATGTATTAAGTTTACGATTGATATCATCACTGGATTTATTGTAAGTCCAAGATAATCCTTTGTTCTAGTCATGGAGCTCCAAGAAAAAAAATACTCCGATCTCCTATCATAAAAAATTTCAATTCTTCTTTAGAGCTCTGACTCTTCTCTCCGGCTTAAGAAAAAAAATGAGATTTCGACACGTACACATCACAGACATCCCGCCTTTCTCTATCACTTCTATAAACTTGTATGCAACTACTGAGTAGAAAGAAAGAAATCTATCGTTTTCAATTTTGTTTCTTGTCCAACTGGAATCAGATCGATCAATTTTAGCCTCAAATATTAATACTTAGCTTACTCTAAGATGATAATGCTAACTAAACAAGGGTCAACTCTAATAGGACCGTCTTAAAATTCATAATCATAAAACATTGGTCAATCATTAACCAATCAATTCATGAAACCATATAAATCCTGAGGTGCCGTGATCACCGTCCCAATCACGAATCGTTTAAATTATGAATGGTCCCTCTTCATACAATTAACTACATTTGATATACACATGCATGTACTGTAGTTGATGCCTCTTCTTCTGCATAATTTAAACCAACTGGCTGTATTGTTAAATTGGTTTTTATAATAACAACAATATTATGTTTTTTTTCCTGTCATTTTCAATATGTATAAGCCGCCCCACAAGAAACAATTTCAGCGTAGTTTATTTTATTTTTCATATTGAGCCTGAATCGTTCAAATTAGTAAAAGATTCTGTAGCAGTGGAAAGTCTATAATATTTATATTTAGCAGTCTTCTTGAAAACAATATAATTAGCAAGGGTTCGATCGTACTTCAAACAAGAAGAGGGGTTGTAATGGTCTTTTTCACTTACAGGGTAGAAACCTCCCCCCCCCCCCCCCCCCCCCCCCCCGTGAATAGTAAATGCCGCCGAAGTCAATGCAAAAATATTGAACACTTTGTGTGTGTATGTGTTGTGAATAACAGGGATCTGTGATCAGTAGTCTTTTCAGATTCTTGAGTGGTGAATTTCAGAACTGAAATATGGTGGGGATCTGTGGGTATAGAAGACACAAAGATCATCACTTTCCTAAAAGAAATGCACAGAAAGTAAAACCTTACCATGTACTGTCAAGAAAAAAGAAGTTTTTTCATAAATTTCCATCACAAACACTAAACCCCAGAAACTGAAAGTTTTTTTTATCTGAATCCCCACCATACCATACCCCTTCAAATCTTTCTGATGGTACTTACAGTCAGTATTCAATTCAGTAGTAATGGTACATGCCCTTCTCTTGTGTCGTGTTTTCATCATTGAGTAAACCATTACCAATGCTAATCAGTTGCTTAACTTCCTCAATGTCATACTGCAGTTGGCTGTTCCCCAGAATCCCATTTGTCTTTTGATCATTAAATGCGAGGAATGGGTCTCCATTGTTATCTCCATTAACATTTCCATAATCAAGAATGAACTTTTGATTTTCCTCAAATCTGTTAGTTGACACAAGTCCTTGAACAAAGCCCATTTCTTCTTGTTTAACAACTTTTCCATGGCCAGTCTGACTGCAGCTTCTATCAGAGGAAGAACAACTTGCTTCAGCGCCTCCGAATATGAGCATGTTTTCTTTCACAGCATAACTTTTCAAATCCATTAAACACTCTTGATTTTGTTCGTAATTAGAGTATTGATAATTGGTAGTTAAAGGAATATTGCTATTATTGCCGTAGAGAAAATTTTGTGGGATTGAAGAAATGGACTCAAGGCCTGTGATAGATCTGTTCATTGGTGTGTAAAGCAAGCTGACATCTTTATATAACTGCGATAGGCTTGGTAGAGCTTGAGATTGTGTGAGTGGGGTGTGAAGAGTGGCTGAAAATGGTGGGTTGGTTCCTTGGTTTGTTTGAATTATTCCCATTAGTTTCTTCTTAAGCTTGGTGTTCCAATAATTCTTGATATCATTATCAGTCCTCCCTGGTAATTGTGCAGCTATGATTGACCACCTGCATTTGTTAGAAACTGGTCACACAAATATGTTCCACAAGATGAAACTTTTGAACTTTTCATCAACAGATATGTAAATAAATAATGTAAATTCAGGGTCTAAACAAGGCATGCATGCATGAAATTACTCCAAAAATAGTAGAATCCCATAGCATAACATTCAAATTTCCAACAGACAATATGTTTCCCCCACATTTTTCTTTGTTCATGTTTTCT